CCAGAGATCTGTCTGCCAGAAAGAGCCAACTGTCAAAGCTGAAGACAGAATGTGGCAGCATCGTTTCCGGGACACCCGAGATTTTGAGTGAGATTGAGAGGTTCTATGGGCAGCTGTACACGTCATCGTTGGAACCACACGCAAGTGTGAGTAACGATCCAAGAGCGAGTCTCATCCGACACTATTCCGAAGATATCCCGGACGTCAGTCTGAGCGAGATTAGAATGGCTCTCCAGCACCTTAAAAACGGTAAGGCCCCAGGCGAGGATGGAATTACAGCGGAGCTTCTGAAAGCGGGTGGAAGACCGGTACTTGAAGTCCTTTAGAAGCTATTTAATTCCGTCCTCCATGGTGGCATTACACCGGAGGCGTGGAGCAGAAGTGCGGTGGTCTTGTTCTTCAAGAAAGGTGACAACGCTCTCTTGAAGAACTACAGACCGATTTCCCTTCTGAGCCGCGTCTACGTGCTGTTTTCGAGAGTCATTACGAATCGTCTCGCGCGCAGACTTGACGACTTCCAGCCTCCCGAACAAGCCGGTTTCCGAAAGGGCTTTAGCACAATAGACCACATACATACCCTTCGGCAAATTGTACAGAAGTCCGAAGAGTACAATTTACCACTATGTCTGGCGTATGTGGACTATGAGAAAGCCTTTGATTCCGTCGAAATTTGGACGGTGCTGCAGTCCCTTCAGCGGTGCCAAGTTGACTGTCGGTATATCGAAGTGTTGAAGTGCTTGTACAGTAGGGCTAAGATGGCTATCCGAGTACAGAATCAGAGTACGAAACCTATCCAATTGCAGAGAGGTGTAAGACAGGGTGACGTCATATCCCCGAAACTCTTCACCGCTGCATTGGAAGACGTTTTCAAGCTTCTGGACTGGAAAGGATACGGTATCAACATCAATGGCGAGTACATCACTCACCTTCGATTTGCCGACGATATAGTACTTATGGCAGAATCGCTGGAAGACCTAAGCACTATGCTCAATGACCTCAATAGTGCTTCCCAACGGATAGGTCTTAAGATGAACATGGACAAAACAAAGATTATGTTTAATGTCCATGTCACACTAAGCACTAAGCTCGAAGTTGTTGACGAGTATGTTTACCTGGGACAAATAGTCCGACTAGGTAAGTCCAACTTCGACCGAGAGGTCAATCGACGGATTCAACTCGGCTGGGCAGCGTTCGGGAAGCTACGACACATCTTCTCGTCAGACATACCTCAAAACCTGAAAACGAAATTGTACAACCAGTGAGTGTTGCCAGTGATGACTTACGGAACTGAGACGTGGTCCTTCACTGCTGGCCGTATGAGGAAGCTCAAGGTCGCTCAGCGAGCTATGGAGAGGGCTATGCTTGGAGTTTCTCTGCGTGATAAACTTAGGAATGAGGATATCCGCAGTAGAACCAGAGTAACCGACATAGCCCAACGGATTAGTAAGCTGAAGTGGCAGTGGGCCGGCCATATAGCTCGAAGAACCGACAACCGATGGGGAAGAAAGGTTCTCGAGTGGCAGCCTCGTACCGGTAGGCGAAGTGTAGGGCGTCCCCCCACGAGATGAAGTGACGACCTGGTAAGACATGCAGGAAGTCGATGGATGCAGGTGGCTCAGGACCGTGCTTTGTGGCATTCTTTGGGGGAGGCCTATGTTCAGCAGTGGACTTGTGAAGGGCTGTAATGATGATGATGATGAATATATTAAACCACTTTTGATCATTCAAATCCATGAATTTGCCTTAATTTCAGTGGTATTAATATTTTATTCTCACCAAAAAATGCAACACTAATGGCGGATTGATGTCGTTTTGATTTGATGTTAGCTGTCATCTCTGATATATACTCATATCACCTATAGCCTATCAGGTAGATTTATTATGTAAAATAGCTAAAATGTCTCGAAACTAGTAGAAAAGTAAGGCAAAAAAGTTGTATTTTTTGATCAAAACGCGAATAAAGTGTAATAAAATTGTGTATGTGCTTTTTTGATCTTAAAACAACTAACGTTCGTGTTGATACTTGTAAAACAAATATAAAAAGTACTACCTAATTCCAGACAAGAAGATTGTTGAGATAAATCAAAGGTGTCTACATACAAAATTATTTCATTGCATTCATTAGTGTGTACTAATGCACACTTCAGTCCCAGGGGCATCCAAGACTTTTTTGTTTTACATGGGGAAATGAGGCCTAGGTGTTTTGTTAGTTTTTACAAAAATTTTGTGCCAGATAGCTCAAATCCGAGATTATATGTGAATAGCGGGTAACTTCGTTTCTCTACCCTAAAAATTCACCCTGAGATACTACTTTATTGCACTGATAATAAAGAATATATTCAATTTATTTTACTTTAGAGTGGCTGTAAGGTGCATAAACAGAATAATCCTGAATACTAATTTCTGTTCAGTTATATGTGTCTATCTGGGCTGCTGAAGTGCTAGAGTACAATCATAGATAATATAATTTATTTGTTATAATATGGTACATTACAGTTGTTACAAAAGAATTCACATTCTAAATACGTTTCCGGCATACAAATATTTTCATATAACAGGTCCTCAGCGTGTCAGAGTATGCCTTGAGCCTTGACAGACATTTAAAGCCTGGATAATGTCATAACAAAGTTAACAGTCCTATGAATTATAGAAAGTGAAACATTAGGTCAATCATGTTTTAGATACTTAAGGTAATATAAATAAAACAGCTTAATTTTTTTATTTTTTATTTATTTATCCTACTTCAAAATCCTCTCTTACTAAAATGCCATCCAGAATTGATGCCGGTGCGGTTATGAAATTTTAATACCACGCCCAACACAAATACCAGACAACGGTCATTATGTGGGCACAGCAACCCACTGTCTGTTGTCCAGAATTGCAACTGCAATAATAACCTGTAATCATCTCATCCCAACTTGTCCCTTGTCTCGCCAACAGTATATATGTATAATAAGCTCTGTCCGAGTGATGGCGAGATTGTATACGGCCTCTTATTAAAACAGAGTCTTGTATGATGGGATGATATTAATTGGGTCACAACTTATCTGCTACTCAGTCTTCGTTGACACCAAACATACAATATACTGATAATATTGGCATTAGGGCGCTGGAGCTCATTTTCATGATTTGTGCCGACAGATAATTCTTGTAATACGTTTGCAAAACATTGTGAACATATTGGTGCATTTTCATCCATCTAGAACAAAACAATCTTACTTTAATAAACTATCTATATTGCAGAAGCATATTTTAAACAGTGCAACATGTTTTAACAGGTGAACTGAAAGATAATTACATCATATTAAGATTTTGCAGCCATTATGAACTTATGTAGAAATTAATAATTATTAACAGACTATAGATAGAAGCATGTCATTCAAATGCGTTTAATAGCTTAAGGAATCATCTTTCTTTAGTACATACCTGCTTACTGATTCAAAATGTGATTCTACAGAATACAGATGTCCGATATCAACGAAATCGAAATCTCACGTAAATCATTAAGTCCATAAAACAAAAGCAGAGTTAATCAAGTAGTAACTAGAAATCCACAATTAAACACATTCACGAGTTCAGAACTACACAACCAAGCTCGGAATAAATAAAAATATCATTTGACAGAAATGACATTTGACAAATAACCGTGTCTTTTTTACTTTTTTATGACTGGAAGGGCACCATCTTGTAAAACCATGAAAAACTTTGGATTGCATTTTTATTTTTTGCAAGTTGTTTAGTTTGATTTAATTTCTCATTTTATTTTTAACAAAATCCCTGAATTTTTCTCTTTTTTACGGTATATTGTACATAGACTGGACCAGAAATGGACCGTCTCCTTTGAAGAAAAATTATAAAATTAGCTTCAGCTGCACTGTTTTATTATCCTTATTGACTTATTTACATGAGTGTGTCGTCACACATGTCATATAATCAGCGCCGTTACAGAATCAGCGTTTTTGGCGCGGTTTTGGAAATTTAAACTGAAACCTTCTGATTATGTAATAAAGAATAATTTACAATGGTTTCCAAAATTAGTCAGATAGCCTATTTATACATACACACACGACTTAAGCTAAATACTTCGAGAACCAACCCGAACAAAGTTATCTGTAGAATAGAATAGAATAGAATGATTTTTATTCAATATGGATTATTACATAATACTTATTGAAAGTCATTATTTTATTTACCACTGGTTCGGAAAATACCTCTGTCCTGGGAAGAACCAGCAAGAAACCCAGCGGGACTTTTTTTTTTAAACATAATTTCACTTAACAATAATTTTGTTTATACAATTTTAAATGAATTTTCATAGAACCAGCATGGTGGCGATCACCTTATTCCCAGGGGTTATTTTCATTCATGTATTCCTTGATATTATAATAACCCTTTTTATACAGTTTTTCTTTAATAAAACTTTTAAACTTGTTTATTGACAAACTTTGAACATGTTCTGGGATTTTGTTGTAAAAGCGTATACATTGCCCCATAAATGAATTACTAATTCTGTGGAGTCTAGTAAGTGGCATTACAAGCTTATATTTGTTCCTAGTGTTTAAGGTATGAACATCCTTATTCTTATTAAAGCTATTTATGTTTTTATGTACATACATTACATTTTCATAAATATATTGCGATGCCAAAGTTAATATGTTTATTTCTTTAAATTTTTCTCTAAGGGACTCTTTACAATTTAGATTAAGTATAAATCGCCCGTACGGCTCTCTTTTGCAAAACAAATTTAGCTTCAATATCAGTCGCATTACCCCATAGCAAAATTCCATAAGACATTACGCTATGAAAGTAACTAAAATACACTATCCTAGCTGTCTCAACATCTGTGAGACTTCTAATCTTTCTTACAGCATATGCTGCAGAACTAAATCTGCTTGCTAATTTAGATATATGGGGGCCCCATTGAAGTTTCGCGTCAATAGTAATACCGAGAAAAACAGTGGTATCCAAAAGACTTTAGAAAGAAAAAAAATTTTTTTTCTGTGGCAGCCCCGGTGACAAATAGTTAAAAAATTAAACTCCCAAATAATTTCGTAAAAAGAATTATTGTAATTGATAATTTCCACCTCAAATTTAAGTTATAATTGTTAATTACGAACAAATTGTATTGTGTAATAAATAAAAGTGGTAAATATTTAAATAAATACATTTTTAGTGCCTCTCAACTTAAAGTGACAGCAGGTAACGAACATCGTTTAAAAGTTGACTGTAATTCTTGTTATCCCTTTTAAAGTGGATCAATTTCTGTACTAAAACAATATTCAGGGAATTTTAAAAAATGCAGTTAAGAGCATAGGACGCAATCGTATTTCTATTGAGTTTTCTTTCCCCCAACTAGCTAACGATTTTGTTGTAAGTCCATTACTTGCTAAAGCAAATTTTGTAGCAGAAATTCATACCTATGCTATTACGAGAATGGGTATCATTAGAGGTGTTCCAATCGATATAGGAATGGATGAATTCGTTTCTGCATCAGAAGTTGCTTCTTCTACGGAAATAATTTGCGCTCGTCGTCTAAACCATAAAGTTATTAAAGCAGACAAGTCTGTTGAGTGGATTCCAACACAAACGATCGTTATTACGTTCTCCAGTAAATTACTGCCCTCGCATGTTTTTGCCTATTTCACTTCATATCCTGTAGAACCTTACCTCTTACCTACAATACAATGTTATAATTGCTGTCATTTTGGTCATGTTAAGTTTAAATGCAGATCTAAGCCTCGTTGTTATAAATGTGGAGAACCTCATGATGGAGAATCATGTGAAGTTACCTCGGTCACATGTCTTCACTGTACTGGTAATCATGCAGCTATTAGTTCATCCTATCCAGAATTTAATAGACAAAAATCTATTAAAGTGATTATGTCCCAAGAACATATCTCTTATGATGAAGCATCTGTAAGAGTTCGCCCGTCAAAACGAGCCTATTCAGATGTTGCAAGTAAAACTCCTTTAAATCCATCTCCTCATACTAGTAATAAGAATTTATATAAAAAAACTTTCTATATAAATAGGAAACCACATTCTCCGGCATCTGATCATGGGTATGACCATACAGCCTATGAATCCATGATCCAAACCCCAAGAAGTTCTCTTCCTAATGGAAGTGCTTACCCTAAAGATAATGTTAGCCATACTTCTCCAAACGAAAATCTCATCTGTCATATGTAGAATTAGATTGGGACACACTTGTTCACCTGTATTTTCGGCAAAACTAAAGATTAAAGCTAGCTCAATTTGTGTGTGAATGTGGATTAGATGAAGGTACGACCTTTCCGTTTCATTATACGATTTTCTTCCTAATAACATCCCTCGTCGTCTTTGTTAAATTTAGTTTACACTCCTTTTGTACAAACTTTATTAGACTTCATATCCATTAATAACATTAAACTATAGTACCTTTGCCACTTACCTATATTCATATTATTATATTAGCAATAATTTTGTAAAAATATAATGTTAATTCATTCGAAAATAACTACATAAGTAAGTTCGTAACATAAAGCTAAGTAAGCGCATCTACGGAAACGGAAACTAGTAAATAGTCTGTGTGACTCTCATGAAATACTTGACGCTGGCAGAATCCATTGGAAGTTGCCAAACTAGGAAAAAAAAAATTAAATTGAATACAAATGTGTAGTGGACTGCAGTGGACTGAATGTGATTTTACTGATTTACTGTTAGGCTGAACTATGCTCAGAGAGGTTTATGGAAGAAAAGATGGTACTCTTGACGATTATATATTATCAGTCTTATTCATAAAAAGTTAAAATAGGTTTATTAGCTTCTTATTAAGAGGTACCCGTAAAACACTATTCATAAACGCACTATAACGCTAAAACGTACTATAAGTGTTCAATAGCGGCTTCATAAGTTATAGAAGGGTCCACCGTACTATAAACCCATTATAAGGGAAAAATGGCAGATCTGCGTGCGAGCAACAAACAGCTGATTGTTGAAGTTGTATAGATCATTGTTGGTGAAATTGTTTTTTGTGGATTTTAATTGCTAATGCGTCGTTATGCAAGCTTTAGGAGCTATGGACCAAGTAGAAAATGCTCCGCATCATCGTCGTAAGGTTTACCGGAAGAGATATGATCCGTTTTCTTTGCCTGATATAGAGTTCAAACAGAGATACCGCTTCAAAAAACATACACGGCATCTTTTATAATTGATCTCGTCAAGCAGGATTTACAACTGGACTCAAGAGGTTGTGGAACGTCACCAGAATTGCAGGTGTAAACCGCCATTAGATGTCGGGGACGTCGTGAAGTAAGTCAACTTGTAGCGTACAAGTAATAATATCCTATTTGAGTGTGTAAACGTTTTTGTACCTATCCTTTTTAGGTTCAAGACTATGGAGGAGACCTTCATGGGTTGAGTCAATCAATTGTGAGTCGCATTTGTGCCAGAGTAGCTCGTGCGATTGCTTGTCACTCTGACACCTACATAAAAATGCCGCAGTCCTTGGCAGAAGAGCAAAGGATTATAAGGGAACTTTTAGAGATAAGAAATTTTCCTTGTGTTGGGTTGCATCGATTGCACTCACATAAAAATAAAGAAATTTGGTGGTGATGCAGCTCAGTATTATATAAACCGAAAAGGGTTTTATTCATTGAATGTGCAAGTTCATATTATAATACAATGCAGTTCTTTGTCAGGTGATATATTACTCATATACATATGTAATTATTTTACCTACATACATAACTGTGCTCACATATTTTTCATTTTTAATGCAGGTAGTTTGCGATGTAAAACTATATATCAGAGACATGGTTGCCAGATGGTGAGGCAGTACCCATGATTCCCATGTCTTTAATGAATCCGCTTTGAAAGAAGAGAGTTAAGAGGCAGACTCTTAGGAGATTCAGGCTACAGATTAGAGCCATATCTATTTACACCTATACTAAGACCTCAAAATGAGCATGAAGAAAGATATAATCGAGCATAAATTGCCACTCGGAACTGTGTTGAACGTTGCTTTGGTGTGTGGGAGCAGCAGTGTCAGTCTATTTTCTGGCATGACAGTAAGACATGAAAAATGTGAAACCTACAATTGTCTCTTGCAGTGTTGCACAATATTGCAATAGGACAAGATTCAGTACCAGGTAATTTGCACACAAATAATTTTAATCATTCATGAATATAATATTTTTTTTACATAATAATATTTGTAATATAATTTTCAGATCATGATGACAAACTCAATGCAATTGTGGATGTTGAACTTCTACTGCAAATTGGTGAGGCCAGAGGAAGACACTCCAATAATGCTCTTTTATGAGCATTCATTAATAGGCATTTTAACTAATTAAGGCTATCAGTAAGTAGGTGCTACATTTTAGTTTTCAATTATTTATTTTGCAAGAACTTGTAGTTTTTATTATAATATTCAATTTTTATTTTTATTAATGTCTCCTCTAGGTCCAAGTTTCGTGCTTTCCTTCCTTCATTTGCCAATTGGCTTGATGGACCTCTTTCCTACACTCAATTTCAGTATTGGCTATACTTGCTGGTCTGAAATAAAAATAGTTATGTTTGAGTATTTAAAAAAAATCAAACCAACAATTTCATAAATTAACACAATCCCTATTAGAATAGAGGTCATTGTATTTACCTTTTCCTCACTTTTATATTTTCTTCCAGGTTTCTTAGAAGGTGTAAACAGTGGTTTTGGTGGTGAGCCAGTAGCTACAACCTGCAGCAATGAAAACCGTTAAAAGAAACTTGTTTACATTAACTTAATCTTAAATGTTTCATCAAATAAAATTCAAGTTTAAATAGACCATTTCATTTTATTCAAGTCATACTTTTATCCCTAAACTTTACAATCCACATACTGGGAGATAACTGCTTCCATGGCTTCAACAATATCAGAATTACAAATCAATTTACGGGTTCAATTTCCATTTTGGCACATGTTTACTTAATTTACAACTTTTCACATATTTACCTCTTGTGTATTTTGAACGTCCTGAAGTATTTCTACTGTGACATCCTTTACTGTACTCATTGTGTCCTACAACAGTAAAATAAGATAAAAATAAAATTAGATATGAAAAATATAAAAATGACTTGCTATCTCAATACATTATTGATGCTTACAATATCTGAAGTCTTGTTTTCAATGTTGACAAGTTTAATTATCATCCACTTTGATCTCATTTTGTGATGGCTCCCCAATCTACAAATAATGCAATAAATAATTTAATTACTAATGAACTATATTATGTAAGTATGATTTTTTTTTTGATAACAATATTATTAAGTAAACTTGAGTAGGTTATTTAGGCAGAAAAGGAACAACAATGTTTATCAAATGAAAGTTTGCACTAGGTAGAGATAAAATTTGCAACTTTTAACTTAGAATCTTGACATACATAATACCAGATTTATTTCATCAGAATCAAATTCATTTGTGTCAATGACAAATTCGTTAGGGAGTCATGAACAGATGTCATCTGCATTTTCGGGGTTTGTTGTTGGAGGTGGACCACCACCAGTCTGGAGAAGATTCTTACATTCAACAGACTTAATTTTCTTTTTTGCATTTTAATAATTATCCATTGGTATTTTATTTGTGGGAGGGTTCGAGTGCCACCTTTGCACATACTGTTGAAACTGGAAAAAAATATAACAATGTACATAAATGTTTAACATTTTAATATTCAAAATGGGCTAATCTTAATGCAAGCAATCCTGAGAACTTGGTTGCACTTTCTCATATATCAACCCGTCCAATCCTATGTTCTATGAGCTATGTGGACTGCCCACTGTTGCTTAAGTTTTCAACTTAAGTCTAAACCTGTGTCAGCAACTTTATTATTCAATAAGTTTCATCATAATGACTCATATTGAATAGGGAGGCTCCTGTCATAGCTCTTCCCGAAGACTGTTATGTGACTAAAGTTATATGTATTATGCCAGCTAGAGACAAAGTGACATGCTTCTGTTGCATAGTAATGTAACTGACCGTATATAGAATATTATTGCGTTGAAGACTCGTCTTCAAACACTTCACATTGATAGACAAAAATAGGTCTGCATAATAAATCCGCCTATGCTGCTAGCTTTTTTGAGTTCGTATTTGTATCAGTATTTTTATTTTCAATCACTAATACACGTTCTCTTACCAAATCCATTAATAAATACTATGGAAAGAAAAAGGATATTATTATAACAACACAGTGAACTAACACTTTTGCACTAAGCATGAATATATGAAGAAAATTACTTTAGTTACGTACTAACCTTATCTTCCTCCAGCCAAATTTCGCTTCTTTGCCGCTTTTTACTTGTACTGTTTTCCATTACTATTGAGTTAAAAATATAACTCAATCAATTTCTTGAACCGATATAAGAAAACAACGCGCTTAATTTGACGCGAATGTCACAATTGCTGTCAAACTTTTTTTTTTACCGTCGCTAGTCTATGGATTCATCAGAATGACAACATAATAAAACTAAAGTATTCCTTAAGTACGATTTAACTAAAAGAGGTTTATAGAACGTTTATGAATACAGAATTTTATAATAGGTTTATTAGTACTAATGAGCACTTTAACTAAAGAGTGTTATAACGCCATTTTAAGGGATTTTTATGAATAAGACTGTATAACTATTTACAATACTGCAATAACTATTATTCACAAGATGGGAGTCTTCTATGGCGTCGTTTCTTGCCTTTTGTCTCTTGATGTTTCTTCTTGAAGTGCCGCTGTCGAAATGAACAACTCGGAGCCCAAAACGCCCTTATATTCCCGTGGAAGGTGTCTCGGCACGAGTGTGGTCTTATTAGGTGTGCCGCGCGCTAATTGGTTGGCGGCATCACGTGATGTTCGGGCGGTGTGCGGGGTGTGTGAGGTGTAACGGGGTATGAAGGGGCGACGGAGCGGCGGCTCCCCTTGCCGTCCGTCCGTACGCCCCGCGTAGCAAGCGAACATACTCTTCTTTCGGGAGGCCGGCGATCTCCCTCACCGGTCGTCGCAGTACTCCGCCTCTGTTACGAATTTCCACGTTGCGTACCACGCCGTTAGGTTCTGGAAACGTTCTTGTTATTATTCTCCTCGGCCACGTTCTGCGGTAGGTTGCCGTCTGCAACCACGACGAGGTCGTCTTTTTTCACTTCTTGTCGCTAGACGTCCCGAAAAGCTACGTACGTGATCAGCGTTGGCAAGTACTCCCACACCCAGCGCCTCCAGTACTCGTCGGCGAGCCCCTGCGCCACTCTCCACGCCCGACGATCGATGGGTGAGCACGGCGCGGTGGTAGGGAGGCCCGATGATCCCAACATGATGAAGTGGTTGGGTGTCAATGCTTCTTGATCGTCGACGTCGACCGGCACATGGGTCAACTGTAGAGAGTTGACCGTGTTTTCCGCTTCCGTTAATAGAGTTGCTAGAGTCTTCTCTCTTGGGCTCTTCTGATAAAGAGTGACTTCCAGCGCTGTCTTCACAGAACGCACGAGACGCTCCCATGCGCCTCCTTGGTTGGGCGCACGCGGCGCGATGAATTTCCACTCCGTACATCGAGTCCGCGCGAAGTCCTTCAGCTGCGGCGCCCACTCTTCCATCGCCCGTCGTAACTCTGCATCTGCTACATGAAAATTAGTTCCGTTGTCCGAATATATGACCCGTGGCCACCCGCGCCTAGCCGCCATGCGCCGCAATGCCGATATCGCCAAGTCTGTCATTATGGAGTAAACTAGCTGTAGATGAACCGCGCGCGTCGTTAAACATGTAAACAATGCTACCCACCGCTTTTCGTGCCGTCATCCTATCGTAACCGACAAAGGCCCGAAATAATCTATTCCGGTGTACGTAAACGGTCGCGCAAACGCTCCTAACCGTTCGGGTGGTAAGTTTACTATAACCGCTGGCCGTGGTGTTGCCTTGCGTACTCTACATCGCAGACATCTCCGCTCCACTTCTCGTACTGTCGGTCGTAGTCGGAGTATATGATATCTGGTGCGTAAGTCGTTGACCACCCTCTCCCTGTTGGCGTGGCTTGCCTCTTGATGCGCCCTCTTTATCAGCAGCTTCACAAATCGGTGGCGTCCATTCAGTATTATGGGTCGCTTCATACGGTCATCCACGTCGGCTGCGTCAATTCTTCCCCTGGCTCGTAGTATCCCGTCTTCAAGTATGGGGTCGAGCTTCCTCAGAGCGCTGCCGGTGACTAGATTCTTCCCCTGCTGAAGTCGGCTGATATCTTCAGCGAAGCTGTCGAGCTGATTGCGTTCCACCCATATCCGCTCTGCCTTCTGGATGTGCTGTAACGTTAACTCTCGTGCCCGTCCTCATATGGCATCGATGATTTGCAGTACTCATGCTGTGGCCCTGATCAGTCTCTCGTAGGAAGAGAAGCGTTCTATCTCTGGCAGGTGTGGAGCGTCCTTGGTGTCGCTCTCGATTTGTTTAAATATTTTTTTATAATAAATACTGTTTTACTATCGTATTATCTTATCCTTCGAGATGTCAATTACAGATCGACCACCTGGTTGGCCGTAGATTATTATCTAATATATAACTCAAGTCGTAATACGGCTGCACTACGTTTCTAATAAAAAATTTTTGTAATTATTATTAAAAAAAAATCGCTAGTATTGTATCTGTCCGAAACCACCTGATGGTGAAAAAATAATACAAAAAAGAGCGAGATATGCATCCGGATCCGGTTGTGCATCCGCTTCTTTTGTTAGACAATAACCGGTTGGGTCGGGTCGGCGAACAGGTAAAGTCCGGTAAGTAAAAGTAAAGTAAAGTAAAGTCAGTAAAGTCCTTTATCCATTATGCGTCCATATCGCATTTAAGGTATTACAACTTGTTTTATAATAATTTGCGTAAATGAGCAGCAATAATATTACTCTCATATTAATTTGTGTCAAAATTTCGTTAACTGCATTTTAAACAAAATCGACTTATCTGGGAGAAGAATAGTATATTTTTCATTATTTTTAAAGAAAAGACGCTAGTGTTGTATCTTTCCGAAACCACCATCAAACAAGGCATTTTTAAGGTTATTGTAAAAAACTGTCAAATATATATTTTTTTCACCACTGTAGGTTAAAATGAAGCGATATGAAAATCGCCCAGTAAAAAATATTTAAAAATATTTATTTCTTGGACACATTTTTGTTTTTGATAGAAAAAAGACTTATTGTTGAGTAGAATGACTATTCACAAATAACTTGATGTAAAAAAAAATAGTAGAAAAGGAATTTTTCATTACGATATGCTTAAAAATCTGGTTCAAGGTAGAGGTTTTCGATATTTTGGAAAATTTAGTATAACTTTAAATCCGTAACATTTTGCGGAACATATATTGTGTTCTTTTGGTAGATTTTGACCCAAGCCATCACCCCCTGAACTATGTTGTACTATTTACTGGACAACTTGTATATAAGAGACCACATTCACAATCAAGCTTGTACACTATTGCATCTTGTAGAGGGATATTACACTTGACGGATGGTAAGAACTGACTATTCTTCTTCGGCGGTTTGAAGAATGTTTTAATGGAAGCTCGCTTCAAGATGTAGCCAACTTTGTCTGTGACTCCTCTGACATAGGGTAGTACAGCAGGCTTCACTCGGTCACTGTGACGTAGGCGCGAGACCCAAAGCTTGTTGTCTTTCAATTCTTGCTCAACTTGCTCTTAGTCCTCAGGGGTGGCGGTGCATCTGCATTTTGATTCGCAATTGAGGATAGACGTAGATGTATATGGGCCACGGCAACCATTTATCATCAGGTGGACTATGTGCTCGTTTGTTACCCTTATCTTATAAAAAATATATTAATTAATAACACTTTAATATACACTTATTAATAATACACTTTTTACGTACCTTAATTCTGGTCTTTGCCTTCATTCCTCGACTGCCAAACGCCACACAAAATAATAAAAAGGCGTGGATCTCATTCTATTTATTCTTAATAAAAATATTCTAAACTTATATCAACGAAAAACCCACAGAAACTTAAAACTAAGACTTCTCTATAGAGTTCTCGCTGTAAAAATGTCGGTGAGAACAATTTCGTAGTTCTCTACAGTGGATAGACGATAACGTACGTCAAAACTAGATTCGTGCTGCCGAAATCCACACATTTTGCGTCTTACAGCAACTTGCGTGTTTCAGCAAAGTAAAAATAAAAACAATGTTTTGT